GCCTTACAGAAGAGATTCTAATAAGGATTTTAAGAAGGGGAAGTTACCCTGGATTATCCCAGGAGTCCTTATAAAAGGAAGACAGGAGAATCAAAGAGAGGAGTGAAATGGGAGCTAGTATCAGAGAAAAGACCCTGTGCTTCTGGAGTCAAAGATGAAGGAGGAGGCTGAGGAACATGGACAGCCTCTGGGTATCAGCTAGAGTTCAGAAGAGGAACAAATTTAATGAGATACACACACACACACACACACACACACGGATTTGCAATGGCTGCCTGCAGTGTCAGGTGTGGAAGGATGCAAGAGTTAGTCTGTGTGCTAGAGGACAGGAAGATTCAACCACAAGTCAAAGGCCTGGAGCTCACAGCAGAGTTCCATGTCAGTCCAATCAGAAAGCCAAAGGGTCTGGGCTAGAAGCCTGGAGATGGACAGCTAAAAGCGAAGGTGAAGGCTGGAGCCCCTCCCAACAAGCAAAAGTGAGACTCCCTTCTTTCCCTTTTTATTCCACCCAGGCTCAAGCCTATTGGTTGGTGCCACCCACATCCAAGGGCGAGTCTTCCCTTTTCCGTAAGTCGGTCACCCAGTCACTCCCAGAACTATGCTGAACCAATCCATTGGACATTTCTTATTCCAGTTGACACCATGTAACTACCTTACTCTAGGAACTCGAAAAATCAAAGAAACAGATTCCCCTTTCTCTTCCAGAAGGAATCAGCCTGTGGAACCATTTCAGACCTCTGACCTCCAGAATTATAAAGATAATAAACATGTGTGCTTTTAATCCCCTGGATATGTGGCAATTTGTTAAAGCAGCAGCTGGAAACTAATGCCCACCTTGGAAAGGAGAGTTTGTGTGTTACTGTCTTGAGTCTACAACAGTGTCTGGCATAGAAGATGCTCAACAGATGTTTGTGGGGTAAACTTGGGAGGCCTGGCAATGAAGCACCTTAGTAGGAGAACCTGGGTCTGAGAACTCCTCGGTGCGCAGTGCCCTAGAAGGACATCATCTCTGCTTCCTGTGGTCATCCCCAGAAGCCCAGCATGAGCTTTATCTCACAGCAGAGACACAGCCCCAAGACCCAGAGTGGAACCAGCCTGCTAAGGATCAGACCCAGAGACAACACCCTAAAACCATCTACGGAAGTCACGTGTCAGCCCAGATTCAATGCACAGGAAAACAGTGCCTATCCCTTGACTGGAAGCAGAGGCCCAGGCTCACTGCAGAGAGCATGAACACGAAAACATAAACCAGGGGCACCATTGTCATCCATCACCCACCTGTCCAGGGGTTTTCCTTCCTTTTTCACTCTTAGCTTTGTAACTACCCTCATGCTGCAGTGACAATAAAAATTATAAGCGTTTATAAGGCACTCATCGTCAGGCTTTATTCTGAGCACTTCACGTATTAATAATGCACTTACTTTCTACAAGAAAGCTCCAAAGATAAGTACTGACATTATTGCTGTGTTACAATAAGGAAAATGAGACCTAGAGAGGTAGGGGAATTTACCCAATCCTCCGTACTGGGGTGGCAGGGAGAAGCCTCAGAAGATAAACTTCACGAAGCTGAGGGAGAGCAAGGCAGAACTAAATGCCAGTGCAAAGGATCCGAGAGCTTGAACGCTTTCAGCCTCCTATTGCAGGGAGACTGTCCTCTGCAGTGAGATTCAGAGGCTGAGATGAAGTTGTCTTGGAGTTGTTAAAGAGATGCTGGTACAATGACAGTCTCAGCCAATGATTTTAAAGCACATCAAATCATCTCCATTTCTCTTTTGGTACTGGTGCACTGCATTCATCATGGGAAAGCTATGAATATACACATGGCATCGTGAGCCTTTTTATTTCCCCTGTCCCTCCCTCCAGTCTTCCCCCAATCCCAACACCCTCCCCATCTCCACAGTCTAGCTCGGCATCTTTTATCATTGTGTGTGTGTGTGTGTGTGTGTGTGTGTGTGTGTGTGTGTGTGAGAAAGAGAGAGATGCTGGGGATTGAACTAGCATTCAAGGCACCGCTGACCCACATCTCTAGCCCCCTAACTTTTATTTCATCTTAAATTGTTTATACTTTGGGTTTCTCAGACAAGAGAAACAATGTGATATTTAACCTTCTGTATCTTACTTCTTTCACTTGGCATTATGGTCTCAAGTCATATCCATTCTCCTGCAAATGACAAAAATTTAGTCTTCTTGTACGGCAGAGCAGTGTAAATGTGCATAAATACCACATTTTCTGTGTTCATCTGATGATGGGCACATAGAGGCTGCCTCCAAGATTTAACCATCATAAATTGAGCTGCTATAAGCATGTTTTTAACTCTTGCAGGAAGAGATATAACTGGATCAAACTGAATCTTTGATTTTAGTTTTCTCAGGAATCTCGACCCTGATTTCCACAGTGGTGATACTGGTTTGCATTCCCACCAGCTATGTGGAAGGATTCCTTCTCCCTCACAGCTTCCCTAGCATTTGTTGTCATTTTTTATGGGAACAATTCCACTATTTAAGACTTCTCCGCCATCCCTATGAAACACATTTTATTTTAGTTCCAGCAAAATGTATCCAGTGATGATAATACCAGACACTGTGGACATCACGACCCATAGGGACTTTTAATTTGACATATGGACACTAGCCTAATAGGACGATTCTAGAAGAAGCACCCTGGTTCATTCTAGAGCATTTGATGCATGCTCTGACCAATAAGACACAAAGGTCCTCAGCCTTTGTGTCTAGATCTTGGCTTTCAAACTTTTCTTTCCTTGACTCAGTCACCTACACTTCCTTAGTCTCAGTTAATTAACCCTACCCAGCACTTCTCAGCCTTACCTTAACCCACCACATCAGACCTGATGATTCTGCAGGAAGAAAATCTCCATCTCTGATGAGTTCCTAGGTTCTGATTGTAGAGCCGTATGGGTTTGCTAAACACTGACCTCTCCAAGTAGAGGGCCCTTCACTGCATAGGCTAATTCTAAGCAGCTTAGTGAGTGTTGAAAGCCAGGTTCAGACTCACAAACTCACATTTTCCCTGGTGAAAGTGAACTTGGCCTGGAAACTCAGTCTGGTCGTACTGTTTCTATAGGTTGGGCATAAGCCTCACTGGGAGCCGTACCTAGAGATCTCCCCTCTCTTCCAACAATTAAGAGACATGGAAAAGTGCTCTCTGCCATCAGTATGATCTGCACAGGGGTTGAGGATAAACACTCTCAAGGTGGGAATAAAGGAGTGAGAGGTAGACAGATAGCAGACAGATAGACAATAGAAAGACAGATAGATGGTGGTGAGATAAATCTAAGTTTACATATTAGAAATAGAGGAATAAAAACTCTTTGTCATTCCTTTTACTCTTTATTTCTCTACCCAGACTATTTGAATGGGTCCAGTGGCCCAAAGATTGACTGAAAAAGTTTTCATCACTTCTAAATAAAGATACTCATCTAAAGGCCTCCAGGAAAACAATAGCACCAATATTTCTTTTTCTGGCCCACTTTGCGTTTCAATTCTTGACTAATTCCAATCTATTCGTGAATTTTACAGCCTTAATGACCTAAATTTTACAGCCTTAATGACCTAGGGTAGGTACTTTGGAGATAATAGTTAAGATGTAATTTCAGTGGATTTGCAATCTTTCCAAGTCTATCTGTTAGGAGAATTCCTAGTTGACTAGAACACTTTTAATCAAAGAATGCACAAAATAATATCTTAGCTACTCAAAAATACTCTTTTATTTTTCTCATAAAAATAATAAAATAGAAATTCAACTCCACAGTAGGCGATTCAAACAGCAAAGATAGGTCCATTTAGAAGTGTGAACACTACAAGTCTCGGTGCTCTTCAAGAGCCTCTGCTGCACACAGTCTGGACCGATGTGCTCAATCTAGCTGAATAAAGATTATGTGGGATTTACGGAGAGGGAATCGCAAGGCCGACTGCGTGTGAATTTCTGCACCTTTGGATTGATACCAGAAAGAGGCATTGTCGCGGTTTCATGGGATATTTCACAGCTTTAATGCACATTTTTGAGCAGCTATCAGCAGTTGCAAACTAATCAGCAGAGCCCGCCTGGTAAGCCATTAGAATCTACTGATCTGTTTTTTTCCCCCTCAGCTGTTTTTCCTCCCTGTGCAAGATAAGCAGATTTGAGAAACAACTAATTCAACAAATTTGATTTGGGCATCTTTAATAGGCTATTTTCTGCTATTTTACCTTTTCATAATTGCATTTGATGCCTTATCAAATGCTTGCCCAAACATTTAACTATTAAATAACGTCGAAGCCCCGTCACTTACACAACCCTTAGCGCATTTCCATGCCGTGCTGCTTTTCTCCTCTCGCCAATGGGCTGACACAGGATGCTGCTGAATGCATCTGAGGGCCTCGAAGAAATGACATCTGCTTGCAGAGGCCCCAAGCTCACCTCCTGGCAAACTTGATTTTAATTTAGGATACTGAGTCATGGCTTCCACAGCTTGGCCTGAGCTAAAAGATATTTTACAGAACAAACCCTCCTGTCCATTCTCTACAGAGGTCGAAGTCTATTTGGTTATTAAAAAAAAAAAAAGAAAAGAAAGAAAGAAAAATCTGATTTGTTAAAAATGAAATTTCATAGGACATCTCCTGAGAAATGAGAATTCTGTCTATAAACCACAATAACAACATCCTCACAAAATACAGATTCAATTGTGGAAAAGAGTTTAACTTTACTTTCTGAGCCATATTCCCAGAGTCCTTTTTTTTATTGGTAGTGAATCTACCTTGAGACAGAAACGGGAGGTCATTCATTCCTCTGTCATTCATTCATTCATAGGACCGTCCTAGATATTAAAGACAAATATGAGGGCCCTGTGGCCTTGGGCTTGTTACAAAGGGCCGAGGCCCTCTTTTGCTTCTTTTGCCAGACCTGGCTTTATCACATTGGCAAGAACTAAGTTATGCTCAGAGGGACACACAATTAGCTTTTCCCTAATTTAAATATGCAGTTAAAAATGTGAAGAACTTACTGGAAGATGAGTACGAGTAATACATGCTGATCACTTATCCTGTAGTTATTACCGTCACCCACAACGGGGCCTCGGTACGTGTCAGCCATTTTGATTGACAGGTATCAGATCCAGGATCTAAAAGCAAACAAAAGACTTATTTATCTGAAATAACCCCTTGACAGTCAATCCTGCTGCAGAAAATGCATAACTTTCGTGAACCCATCCATTTGTTCTTGCACTCACAGCTGCTATATGCTCTGTACTATGCTACATGATGGGAACCAAAGACCAAATAATGCATCCTGGTCCTAGGCTTAGAGAAGTTCACAGAGAGGCTGGAGAAAGCAGAAGCAATCAGCAGTTCTACACGGTATGATCAAACTGTAAGGGGGATGTTTCAATTAAAATCTGTATTACAGTAAATGGCACATTGCCGTTAATCCCCTACAGAATGTGCCTCCTGTCTTCGCTTATCCCACGTTCTTTCCACCTGCAGCAGCAGGTTTGGAGGTCCTCTTCCATGAGGGTCTTCTTGAGGCCTGATAAAAGCCAGTGATCGCTGCTGCTGGGCACTGTCCCGTGGAAAGGCGATTTCACAGAAATACAGCACCGCGCCCTCAGCCACTTAGTCACCAGAGTCACCGGCACTGTGTGACTTGCGGCTTCTTCAAAGCCGAAACAGCAATAAAAGGGAACATTCTGAGTCAACTCAGGACATCATGGCAGGCAGGACAGCTCAACTAAAGACGCTCAGAGGACTCCAGAATCACTTCAGAAAGTGGCCAGGAGGACGGGGTGAGTGTGTCGGAAACGAGGTGGAGAGTACTGAGGGACCTTAACTGCAATTGGCCCTTTGTCCCCCTGGATTTTAAAATTTAAACACTGAGTTCTATCTTAGAATGTGACAAGTGCCATAACAAGGGAACCGGAAACTTGTGATGCAGCGTTTACCATGTTTTCTTCTTGGTTTTTCACTTGTTCACTGCTTCTGTTGTCTGCCTTCCTACCACAGTGAAGTCTGCTGTAGAGGCTTGTTTTATAGAGCGCAACAGACAATACTTGGAGCTTATTGTAGGTCTGCCCATCCCCGTCAGGTTTCTTGTTTTATCGAACCGCTGCTGCCCTTCTGTCATTCCTGCTGACTTCCAGCCTGAAACTCCACTATCTCATTTTCACACAGTGAAAATTCACAAAATAAAGCTCCTTCACCCACTCTTTCCTGACTATTTCTCCAAGGTTATTTAAAACAAATTCTCATCAACCGGTAAACTTCAGCTTCCAGCCAGTATTGAGCAAAGGGTGCCAGATTTATTTATGCTTTCACATGAAACAGTAGGGTTCACGATACCACACAGATGCCAAGAAAGAATACTGATCACTAAACAAGGTTAGTCATTCAATTATTGCATCTACAGCCGTGAGAAGTTCCCAGCCTGTGGAGCTCAGGAAGCGAAGCCAGCAAAACTTGGAAGGCTCCCAAAATAGAGCACACGGAGTTAAAAATCTCAGGGAAGAGTGTGCTAGCATTTACAGGAGGACGTGCTCAAGGGAGGTTTAGAGAAAGAACATTTAAGCTCAGTAGAATGTACCCTGAGGTACTCATCTGGTATACTAGTCACAGTCTCTGGGTGAGGAAATCACCCAAGAACAAGAGAGAATGGATTAGCAGTGACAGTAATAAGCACCCACATAGACCAGATGAAAAACTAAAAATGAAAATAAAGCCCGCACTATTCGTTATGAATACAGAAGAGTCTTAGTATAATAGTAGTATATGGTAACTGAATCCTGCTTAATAAATATTAAAATTTTACCAACCAAGATGACATTTTTTTCCAATAACAGTGAGTCTCAACATGAAGCTCAAGAACATTTGAAAGAATACAAATAGATCCGGCACCCAATGAGGTACAAATAAAATGTCTAGCATCCAACCAAAAATTAACAGGCATGCAAAGAAGCAATGTAATCCACAACTAAGAGGAAAAAATAATCAATTCTGGTGCAGAATTGATGTGTGCTCTGATTAACACATAGGTGCACTAAAACACTTATTATAACTATTCTGCATCCTAGGTGCAGTAAAACATTTATTATAACTGTATTCTGTATATTCCAAAGTGAAGTAGAGATGTGAAAGGTACTTTGAAGATCCAAATAGAAATTCTACAGATGAAAAGTACTGTGCTTGACATGAAAAATATTTTAATAAAAAAAGACAATTTTAAGATGTGATACATACATATACCAACTCCTCACCATGACTGTATTCACTATATGTTGCAAACATGTACTACTAAAAACATAGAATGACTTGGTCAACCCAAAAGAAGACAGGGGAAATAAAAGACCAAAGAGATGAACAGGGAAAAAAAGGATGATTCATATTAACCACTTCAATAATCCAAGCAAACATAAATGGTGCAATTAAAAGGCACATATTGTCAGACTGGGTTAAGTGAACAAGATCAAATTCTATTATGCTACCAGAAGTGCAGTTTAAATATAAGGACGCAACTAGATTGAAAGTCAAAGGATGATGTTTTGAGAAGATCAAGAAAATTAATAAACCTCTAGCCAGATGTAAAATAAAAGATTGAAAATACAAATTATGCCAAAAATGAGAGACAGAACATAAGCACAAATTCTACAGATATGTGTTAAAATGATAATATGGGATTATGAACAACTTTATACCAATACATTCAATAACTTCCATGAAATGGCTAAATTGTTTGATAGACACAAACCCATCAAGTCTCTAAGATGAAACAATGACCTAAAAAAAGCCCTAGACTTACTGAAAAGTAGAATCTGGATTTCAAATCTTTTCAAAAGGAAAACTGGAGATCCAAATAATTTTAGTGGTTAATTATGCTAAATATTCAAAGAAGAAATAATAATTCTAAACAAATACTCCAGAAAATTTAAGAAGTAATTTTCAACTCAATCTTTGAAACCAAAATTATCTTGCTGAAAAAAAGAAAGAAAAACAAAAACATAAAAACACCACAGACCAATATCTGACATGAACATAAATGCAAAAACTCTTAAAATTATAAGAAATACTATCTGAAAGTTGATAAAAACACAATATGTGTTTCTGGTTAATCTCAGAAGTGTAAATTAGTGCAGTACTCTAAATTAGTTCATTATTTTATAATTAGTTTATTATTTTAACAAACTAAAGGAGGAATACTCATATGATTATCTTAGCAGACATAGAAAAAATATTTGATATAATCCAGATTAAAAACCCTCACATATGGGGCTGGGGACTAACCTCAGTGTTAGAATGCTTGTCTAGCAAGTGAGAGGCCCTGAGCTCAGTCTCCAGCACCAAAAACTTCAAAAATTGAAAAAGAAGGAAAAGGAGGAGAGGGAGAGGGAGGAGAAACAGAAGAAGAAGGAGAAGGAAAAGAAGGAGAAGGAGGAGAAGGAAGAGGAGGAGGAGGGAAAAGAAGAAGAAGGAGGAGGAGGAGGAGGAGAAGGAGGAGGAGAAGGAGAAGAAGAAGAAGAAGAAGAAGAAGAAGAAGAAGAAGAAGAAGAAGAAGAAGAAGAAAAGGAGGAGGAAGAAGAAGAAGAGGAAGAGGAAGAAGAAAAAGAAAGAAAGGAAAAAACCAAAAGGCAACTGGCATACAACACCTTCACAAAGGCAGAACATTTCCTCAGCCTGATAGAGGGCACTGATGAAAGCCCCCAGTTAACACCGTAATTAGTGGTGAAATATTCAATGATTTCTTCTTCAGATCAGAAACAAAGCAGGTGTGCTGGCACACATGTGTAAACTCAGTATCCTGGGAGGCTGGAGGATTGCAAATTGGAGCCCAGCACAGACAATTTAGTAACTTATCAGGCCTTATCTCAAAAATAAATAAATAAAATAAAAAATGAATAAAATGGACTGGGAATGTATCCTAATATGAAAGTCTGGATGCAGTTCCCAGTACAGAAAGAACGAAAGAGAGAAAGAGAAAGAAAGAAAGACCCAATCAGGACCACACTTCTCTTACCACACTATTCTGTATTTTACTGGCAAGCCTAGACAGTGCGTTATTGAAGAGGAAAAGAAAGGAAAGGAAGGGAAGGGGGAGGAAGAGGAAAAAGAAAAAAGATAAGAAAGAAGCAAGAAGGAAGAGGAAAAGAATAAGGGAAGGAAAGCAGGAAAGAAGGAAAGAAAGAATTAGAAGTGTAAGAAATGGAAAGGAAGAAGTAAAACCGCCTTTGTTCTTTGAAAATGAACATTTCCTTTACATGAAAGGTGCTAAAACTAATAAATGAGAGTTTGGAACAGGTATAGGGTATCAGATTTAGTTCTTCCCAGTGTAATACAACAAACATAAATGCAAATAAAACAAAACACCACGCCAGTGGTCTCAACCACGTACTCAGTAAAGGAGTCTACATTACAGGAGCAAGTATCACAGGGTCACTCCCTGAGAAGTAGAGGGACACACCTGAAAACGGTCCACAGGTGCACTCTGGTAGGCAGAGCAGCAGTTTAAGCGTGGACCTTCAGCCAATCGCATCAGCAGCTCTTCTGTCGGGAAACCTCGTCTTCCATGGCCTGAGCCCTCTTACCCACGAAGCAACCTAATAGTTCCATCCCCTGGACCCGGCTGCCAGGGTTCCTAATGCTGGGAGAATAGCTCTTTGTCTGATGCCTGCAGAAAGAGGTTAAGCTGCTCACGCCCACATTCCACATTCTTGGATCTAATGGCCAGTTCTCTTGCTCAGAGGGTTTCCAGACTAGAAGATCCAGTTCTCATTTTTCTTTGCTCCAGGACCCATTGGCTGGGCCTGAGAGCTCACAGCAAAGCCGCCGGCCTCTGGTAGCTGAGCCACCACTAATCCAACAGAGCTGACCCAGAATGTTTTTGCAAGGCTGTAAATTGAGGCACATTAATTAAAATCAGAGCTTAATCAAGATGCCAAGTAAAATATTTCAGATTCTTTACAAGAACTAAACCCAATCCTTAAATATTCATGGAGAAAAGAAATTTTTGTTCTCACTTGCTCAGGGAACCAAGGTAACTTGCTATCTACTTTCTGCTCCGTGAACAAGTTTTGAGCTCCTGTGCATCTGGGCTGATCACACTGCTACCAGCATCCTGAACTAAGTCTGCCGTCAAACTCCACTTTTTTAAAAACAACGGATCTGGCCAAAACGTCATCAGTCAATCCAGAGACCACAGATAAACTCATTTAACTGTGTGGAGACCAATGGAAGTTCTAGGAACAAAGGCTGGGACCTTCCAGGAAGGGAAACCTTAATATCTGCTAGAGGAAGAGAGCTTTACAGGACCAGGGCTGTATAAATCCTCTTCCTGGGAATGTTTTTGAAGGATGCCCAGAAAGACTACATTGTGGCACTGGTGGGGAGATAAAGGGTCCTGAGTGCAGGGTCCACCAACCAAGCAGAGGGGTTTTGCGAGCCTGCCAGGGTCTCCACCCAGCGGGTATTGGAGAGCTTAGCAAATGTCGCTTTGCTGGGAGTGACTTGATTCTATTTCTGTACAGTAAGCAAGGAGCTCTCTCCATCCCTCACACTGTACAGTAGAAGACGGACTCACTAACATGCAAAATAACATGTTATTCATGCATGAAAATACAAGCGAGTCTCGGGAAAAGCACAGCAGCATCACTGCTGCGGCATCAGGGGAAGTCAGAACTTTATCAGGGTTGTGAGGGACACAGGACAGGATCGTGGCAGATGGACATGAGATGGAAGGGACATTGCAGCTAAGGATAAAGAAAGGGAGACCAAAGCAGTAGGCATCCATGAGCATCAGCAAACGGCTCGGTACTGCCTGGGCAGTAGGAGAGAGCGCTGGTCAGGACCCTAGGAGCACACAGGGGTCAGGGTGGGTTGGTCTGAGAGCTGGGCTCCAGCTCTGGGACTTTGCCTAAGTCATGCAGCCCTCTTGAAAGGCTGTCAGCAGGCAGCACCAAGGTCAGACTTTCCTTAAAAGCAAAGATGCTAGGGCCTCATGCAGGGGGGTGTCAGAGACCAGAGCAGTGGCAGCTGGGGAGCCCAAGTGCCTCCTTCTAGGGGGGAACCAGAGTCTCCCTGGCTGGGTGAAGAAATGAGAAAATGACAGTTATCGGAGGTGTTTATCTCAGGTCACTGTCTTCACCCAGCTCAGACCTGGATCAGCTAGCAGCTAAGCAAGCCCAGTTAGGAGAACAAGTCCAGCCACATCTGCAAACCAGCAGAGCCAGCCAGACTGCAGATGAGGTGGAGCAAAATAGCAAAATGCAAGGGAAATGTTTACCTTTTAAGATCACCATCGTGAAGAAGACCCCAAGGGACCAGCTCTCGTGAAAAATCAAGGGGTTTTATTGTCCACGCATGTGAGGGACTCTCCGACCGCACTCCGGTAGAGAGAGGGGAGAGAGCCCCGGGTAAGGGAGTACAGAGTATATATAGCCGAAAACCGCAAGCAAGCATTGGTTACAGAAGCAGATGGCATTGGTTACTAGGGGTCGTGTCCTTTGCTTACTGGTGGGTGAGCTATCTGCTGCAGGTGGCTTGATGTTTTTGAAAACTCATATCTTGTCTGGCAGGGTCGCTGGTTCATGGTGGTCTTATTTTTGGGGACGTCGGATCACAACTTCCCTATCAAGTCAGAACATCTGGTTATTCTGACTGAGTGACAAGGCAAGAGGGGTTTCCTGAATGTTTTAACTCTTCAACCTGTGACGCTATTTACTGCCTTCTGCCCGTGCCCTCACTGTCAGCAAGTAGGGAGAGAAAGCTCCCGCTGCTTACCTTGGGAACCGCTCAGAACCATGGTTGTAGTTTTCCTGAAGCACGGATCTATATATAAGGAGTGATTCCTATCTATTAAATGTAAACGCATTTAGTTTCTCAAAAAACTGTGACAGTCACAACTGACCTAGCCTGTGATGGCACTTTTCCCCCTTCCCCGGACAGCAGTGGGCCACCCATGTGTGCTCCACCAGCAGGCAACGAGGGGCTCGGAGGTGGGGAAGAGATGGTTTGGGCCATGCTGTGTGCAGAGCAGGTGCACAGGAAGGGGAGGCAGGCGCCCAGCCACAGTGGTCAGCGAGGACAGGACCAGTGGGCAGTCCCCAGGGAATGGGAACAGCCAGGATGGATCAGCAGACATTGGATGGCAGCGGTGGGGTGGCTGTGCGGGGTCAGAGTTGCTCCTCTCCTGGGTGCTTCTGTCACCTTCCATTTCCCTAGGGTCAGCAGGGAGCAAAAGGTAGGAAATTGTGTGTTAGTGTCCTGTTCCCCCTGCAGTCACAAGTCTCAGGAAGACAAGGATGGTCCCCATCCCTGTCCAGGCTTATGTTGTGTCATAGATGTGAGTACATAAATAAGTGAATGAGAGTGACCATGTGGCCCCCCACCCACTGGGACAGCGGGAAGTAGAGTCAGAGAACAGTCCCAGGTCCCCCAAAGTGACCTGGGTCAGCTGCTTCCACACACCACCTCTCTCTCTAAGCCACTTCTCAATCTCCACAGGCAGGATCTAGCTCTCTGGGAAATGGCCAGAAAGCTGTTATGGAAACAGAAAGCCCAGCTAATGCTCAAGCATTGGGGTCTGAGTCCTCAAAGCCACTTCTGTTCCTCCGCCTGCAGCCAGGGCGGAGAAGGGTTCCCAGGGCCGGAAGTCCTGGGGGAGGGACGGTTTAGAAAGCCTATAAAAGCCCCTGGGGAGGACCTGCTTCCTCACCCCGCAGCCGCAGCCAGCGCCAGGACCCCTGCTCCTCTGCCAGGAAGCATGTCTCTCCAGTGAGTATCTCCGGGAGGTGTGTCAAGGGACAGTAGTCACAGCTTTGGACAGGGATTAGCAGTTGCTGGACAGAGAGCGTTGACCGATGGCCTGATTAAGGAGACCCTTGGGTCTGGGTGAGGGAATTCTCTCTATACTAAGGTCAGCACATAGAATTTGTGTCTGCATGACAGGGACTGCATGTGTGACTCCGAGAGGGACGTGGGGACAGTTCCAAGCACAGGACTGTTAGGCAATCTCGGTTCCACCTCTTGCTTGGTCACTTCCTACCTGTGTGGCACTGGGAAAATCACTTTGTAAAGTATTTTCCGTACATGCGGTAGGGGTGATCATAGGACTCACCCCATGTGTTGCTATTTAAGTTAGCTGATGTCACGCAAAGTTCATTTTATGGTACGTCACACAGAAGGACTTAATAAGAGCAATTACTATAATCAGGAAGCCTGATCAGAGGTGCACCCTCAGAAGTTATAAAGTGAAGGAAATAAGCAAAAACACCAGGCCTGGGGTGCACACCTGTAACCACAGCGCTTCGGAGACCAAAGCAGGAGAATCCGGAAACACAAGGCCAGCCAGACTATGTCAGGGGTTCAAGGCCACCCTGAGCCACAGAGCAAGACCCTGGCTCCAAGTAAATACATGAACTAAAGAAGAGAGAGAGGGAACAAACAAGACAAGGAAAGAAGCAAATTCCGTCGCACCTGAAACTTCTGATCTATTTTTTAAAAAGCACTGTAGTTTTGCGGAGTTAGAGAAACGGGGTGACTGCGGATGAGCAACAGAGAGTGATGTGCCCGGCCCTGAAGGCCGTGGTCTCCCTGTCTGGGGGGACAGGGGGTGGGGGGTGAGGCTCCTCATCTGACAGAAAGGCAGTGAGTGTCCGCAGGTCAGGGTGATTCTCACCCAGGACCTCGGGTGGGATCAGAGTTAAGGAAGAGCAGCAGTGGCCACAGGGTCACCTGATTTGTCCCCAGAAATAAGGGGAAGCTGCAGCGAGCAGGATGAAGTCTGCTGTGACCCAGATGTTAGGAGAGAGCTCACTCCCACCATGCAAAAAGACAGGCCGGCTCCTCTCCCACATCTCTGCCCCCCACGCTCCCGCTGCTCTCTGGCTGAGGCCAGCCTGGCTGAGGCACTTGGGGTCAAGCCCCTGGCGCCTTCTCCCAGGGAGCACAGCCCTGAGAGCCTGTGCACTGAGAGGGCTTCTTCCAACCCCGTTCAGAGTTGAGCACCCCGCCAGTGGGTACAGGAAACTCTTCGAAACCGTGGAGGAGCTGTCCTCGCCGCTGACAGCGCACGTCACAGGTCAGTCTTGCTTCCCAAAGCCACGCCACCTGCTTTTGGGTCAAGGTCTCTGTCTCCCTGTACTTGTAGGTATCTTTCTGCCCAGGCTACACTGGGCAGAATCAGCAGGCTCAGAGTGTTTCTCCTAGAAACCCGTTCCTCTCCTGTACCTTCATTTCTGCAGTCAGATAAAAGCCGCCTAACTGGAATTCCTTATCATCGCCAAACCAGACCCACCAGCTCAGAGCCTGACCCATAGTAAATGTCCTGTACAATAAATGTCTTTCCCCACAGGGTTTGCATAATGAGAGCCTGGTGAGAAACACCTAGGGGTACTACATTAAACGGTGTTGGGGTTCATGTCCAGGAAGCTGACAAAGCATTGGGGTCTAGAGATGGTGGATGTGGGTGTGATCCTAGCCTTCTATTACACCGTAATGCGTTCCGTAAATTCCTTGAACTTTCTGAACCTCAAACACTTAAACGCCCCCGCCCCCCCCCAAAAAACCAAAATTTACTTCATGGGGATACTTTGAAGATTAAATGTGGCAATGTAAACAGAATGACTCCCCCAACATCAGGTAATCAGTAGACTGTGGCTATTACCACCATGGCCACCAGGGCCAGGACACGGTGCCCAGGACGGGCTCCTCTCTGGGGTTCTTGGGGTTACAGAAGAGTCAGTGCCCAGGCAGCCCTCTTGTGCTCCCTGTTTCCTGTTTTGTAAAACAGAAGGGCAGAGGCCAGCACTTTCTTAACTAGTCTCATGGAGAGTCTCAGTGTCTAGCTCCCATTCAAAGCTCAGGCCAGGAAGCCTTTGTACCTGGCTGGAACCACTGTCGGGTCCTGACGCCCAGCCCTGCCCAAACCTCCTGCTGCTGTCTTCATCTGCACAGTGATTCACGCCTGCCTCTGAGGGGGAGGTTGGAGCTTGTAATAAGGCCATATTCCTGGTTTTTTTTTTTTTTTTAAACTTCATAGTTTCTTCTCTAGACACATCTTTTAAAAATGCCTAGATTTTTTTCTCCATCCTCTCCTCAACCCACCAAAGTACTTCAAAAACTTTTCAATTCTTTTTCTTAAAAGGGGGTCTGTGGGTGGGTGTCTGGGAAGGCTGCAAAGTGAAGATCCCCAGTCAGCTGCAGCTGCTCTGTCCTGGCCCCTTCCCACCTGTTCAGAGCCTGGAGTGACCGGGTCCCCCGGGACAGGAGACTCAGCGCAGCAGATGCCTCCTGACGCTGCTCGGCTGAGGACGGAGTGAATGCCACCGCAGGCTTCGTGTAGAGGAGGCCGCCAGGCCACTGCTGGTGCAGTTCACGGGGAAGGAGCAGGGCCCCGGACAGGGATGCAAAACAGGGTCCCGTGTGTCACTTCCTCCCAGGCAGGGTCCCACTGTGGCTCACCGGCAGTCTCCTCCGTTGTGGACCGGGTCTCTTTGAAGTGGGAGCTGAGCCTTTTTACCACCTGTTTGATGGGCAAGCCCTTCTGCACAAGTTTGACTTCAAAGAAGGACATGTCACGTACTACAGAAGGTAAGGAGCGCTCGGTCCCACCCCTCCCCAGAGTGGGCCCGGCTGGGCTCCCCTCCCTGTGCCTCTTCACCTCCTGAGCCCTGGACAAGACCCCTGAACCCAGTCCAGCCTCACAGTCTACCTGGGTGCATGGTCTGAACAGACATCTGAGAGCCCAGGGAGTAAATGAAGAAACTAAGAACCGGGATTTGGGGTCCGGCATCCCTGACTTCAAGCCCTCTCTCCGCCAGACACCAGCTGCCTCACCTGGTGACCTCTGGCCAGATGCTGTGCTCTACTTCTGGGTGTTACCACTGCAAAGTGGAGAAATACCACAGTTGACTTGATATGTTCATTGCAAGGATTAAATACCCGAGTTCCAGACACAGGAAGCACTCGTTAGCAGCAAAAGTTGCTACAGAGGTTGTTGTTAGACTACCAGCTACCTAGATTCTTTCCTCACTTTATAACCAGAAAGGACTGGGAAAGAGACAGAGGGACCAGAGTGGGAAGGGCATGTGTGTCACACAGACAACAGAACAAGAGAGGTTCTCCTAAAACAAGAGGTTGTCCCTGAAAGGCTTGAAAGCCTCAGCCGTCACCCCACGGAGCCCCAACAACACCCCACAATGGACACTTTGTCTCCTGTTTCAATATCTGGGTTGGTTAGTGAAGAGAGAAGAGGCTGGAAGAATTAATGCAGACTGGACACAGGATCCTTGGACTGTAAGAGGGGAAGATCAGCTATTGCCGAACAAAACTTTAGTGACAGGAGAAAATTTTGGAGTTCAGCTAAAATGTTCCTGGGCCTCCTAAAGACCTCATTCCTCTTCATAGAGGTGCAAGACCCGATTTTATTGACTCTTCACATTCGAAATCCTGGGCACATTTACCAGCAAGTCTGGGATAGGTTTCGGCTAATCTGCCAGCCCAAGGGATTGAATTCAAGAATACCTAGATAAAAAAGCGTAGCGAAATGAATGCTAGGATTGAAGCAAGACACAAGAGGAATGGAGAGTAGCAGGAGGACTAGGGCTAGGCACACTGGTCCTGTGTCTGCCCACTACGCAGGCCCTCGGGTTCCAGGCGCCAGGGGGTTAGAGGTCATACGGGAACTGCCAGTCAGGCTGCACCATCCAACTCTGCCCAACCCGTGATTTCCCACAAACGCCAACCACGTCCCCAGACCTTGACCTCCTGTCCCGGTGAGGCTGAGAAGACAGAATTTTGGCTCCCTCCCGTTGTGTCTCCCTGCCCTGGCCACTCTTAGAAAGGGAGCCGACACTATTCTTCATTCCCATGTGCTGATTGAGTGACTGTCCATGTCGGGCACTACCTGGACTGCAGTGGGGAAAGTGACCCCACAGGTGACCATTTCCCATCTCTTTGTCCCACAGGTTCATCCGCACCGATGCCTACGTCCGTGCCATGACCGAGAAAAGGATTGTCATAACGGAATTCGGGACCTATGCTTACCCAGATCCCTGCAAGAACATATTTTCCAGGTCCCTGAAACCAAACCACGTGCTCCTAAAGACATTTCAGATCATCTCTTCTCTTCCTGATGGCCCAAAAGGTTTTGAACTGAAAATTGTGTTTGCTTCTGTAGGTTTTTTTCTTACTTTCGAGGAGTGGAGGTGACCGACAATGCCCTTGTGAATATCTACCCAGTGGGGGAAGATTATTATGCCTGCACAGAGACCAACTTCATTACCAGGATTAATCCAGAGACCCTGGAGACCATCAAGCAGGTAGGAGACCCTGTTCAGGTGTTGCTGTGCAGGGAGCCAGAATTCGGACCTTAGAATGGAACCCACCGTGCAGCTGGATGGGAGGGCTGTGAGAACCAGACTAAGTTTCAGGTCCTTGCTTTGTCAGCAACTGCTAGCTATGCAACAAAGGACAGACTTCAATTCTTCTTGCATGAAATTTTGGACACTTACCTGAATTTCAGGAAACCTTGAAAATGGCAAGCATATTTGTATTGATTACTTTATTCTGCTTGCTGGGACAAAATACTAGACACCCAAAATGAAGGAAGGAAAGGTCTCTTTAGCTCACTGTTTTAGAGGTTTCAGTCCATAATCAGCTGGCTCCAAGGCAGGGTGGCATAGCATAGGGGCAACACTTCAAGGTTGCAGCCAGAGCAAAAGGGAAGGAAACAAGCCTCTTCTGGCTTATAATGTACACAGGCTACCCTCTCCCGGGGCAGGTGTAGCACTCACAAAATCTCCCTGCTCTCCTTTGCCCAGGATGAGGATATTTGCAAAGTAAGAACCCTGCTCCCTGCTGAGTTTCTTAGTTAAACTTCTGAACTGCTCAAGTTGACACATTGTATCAGCCATAACAGTATTCATTCATTCTTTCTTTCATTTACTAAGTACCTATTCATAAGGGAGATACTTAAGGAGTGCTTTCCATGCCCCAGAATTTCTGCCAGATGCAAAGCATTTATCAGTGACTAAGACAATAGGGTCACTGATCCTTAGGGCTTTTATAGGCTATTATGAACCTGGTACATACAGAGTATTCAAAAATGCTAGCTATTGATATTGAAAACTCTGCTTTTCGTGATTCTAGATAAATATGTTGCACCAACTTACCCTTCTGGTCAAATTTCTTATTAGAAATAAAGCATGTCTTAAATGAAATACCATAGCAACTACACCAGAAAGCTTTTGCTGAGAACTTGGGGAATCTCAGTGAGGTGTTCTTTAAAATAGGTCCACAATTTCACCCAGTATTTATTGACACCTACTTCCAAAGTGTCATTCTTATATTCCACTAAATGCCCATCCACTAAATGCCAATCAGACCCTCAGTCGTGGTACAAATCCACAACAGCCCCAGTGTTTCCAGATCTCCCAGGACAGGGCAATAAAAGGAATGCGGAGCTGGCTTTCAGTTCCAAACGCGTATCACATGCAAGACACTGGACTTGCTAGCTAGGTTGTCCCATGCCAAACTGTCATTTTTTATACATCTAAAATGATTGAATACCAGCAATTTTGTGTAACTCAAAATAATACAATAAAAATAAACCCCATGACTCAAATTTATAATTGTTTGAGATCAACTTGTATAAAAGATGACCTGGGCACCTCTCCTTGATTGCAGAACAATTGCAAGATTAGTTAAATGGAGTCTATTTCCATTCAGAGCTGGCTTTGCTGTTTCCTTCTCTCTTCAGCTGGCTCTAAGCTGTGCAAATAGGGCCGGCTAAGGCACTGACAGGCCACACTGGAAGCCAACCTACAATTTCCTGGTTCCCCACACAGCACTCTCTGTGCAAGATTGAGTGCAGCAGGATGGCAGGGTTACTCAGTTCCAGGAGTGTCAGCTGGGTTCCAGCCTCAGGAGGCTATGAGTCCCCAGAACACAAAAGTTTACATATCAGAAACTGGAGCAGTTGCTTCCTAAAACACCCTAATTGAGTTCCTCCCACATATCATTCTCTCTGCGTATTGCAAAGATGCTTTTCTCCCCACCTGACCAGCCAGCTCAAGTTACTCACATAGTTTCTGCCATCCTTGAACCACTCCCTTCTTCACAAGATACTAAATTCTAGGAGAGCCCTTGAATCAGGGGCTTTGTCTGTATGTCCTCACCTGGATGGGACTCAGGTCCCCTTGGCTGCCCACGACTTTCAGTATGTCTCAGTGTCTTTTCTCTCACTGTGGGTTGCATTGGAAGTGGTAGACTGGAATTAACTCACTGGCATTGCAACAGTGTTTCATGGGAATTACAAATCTAACTTACCATGTCATGAGGAAGATTAACAAGGGATTAAAATACTGGGATTACAATATTCAATATTTGAATTACAATAAACTTGTACATGTGAAAAGAAACTGACCAGAGCCTCATATGGTACTTATCTAGGTTATTTTTTCTCATTGCTGAGACAAAATATTTGACACCCAAAGTGAAAGAAAGGAAGATTTATTTAGCTCACCGTTTGTGGAGGTTTCAGTCCATACTCAGTTGGCTCCAAGGAAGAGTGACATGGTTAAGGGACAGCCACTCATGCCACAGTGACAAGAGGAAAAGGGCAAAAGGGAGGATCGTGGATAGAAGACTCTGTCTCATCTGTTGTATGCAGGCCACATCCCCTTGGTACAGCACTCACACCCACAATACCAGCATTGGCCCATGAGTCATTCACAAACTCTACAAGCTCATGCCCCTGACTATATGAGGCTCTGGGAGGACATTCAGACTCGAACCAAAACAGTACTCATCAAATGAAGAGCACGATCAGAGAACCCATATTTTGGTCACCTGCAAAGTCCTCACGGGGCTCAGAGGAGAGCTCTGCATGAAAGGTGGGCTGCAGACAATCCTGAGAGAGAGAGAGAGACACCGTGCATTTATCGTGAAAGTGCCAAGGGCAGTGGTGGGGGTCAGACCTAGGACAAGTGTAACCTCCTTTCTCCTAGCATCGATGACATCTACCATCCCTCCACAGGTTGATCTTTGCAACTACGTCTCAGTCAATGGAGCCACCGCTCACCCCCACATAGAAAATGACGGAACTGTTTACAACATTGGCAATTGCTTTGGGAAAAACTTTTCCATTGCCTATAATATCATCAAGATCCCTCCGCTGCAAGCGGGTGAGTGTACCAATCTCTCCTCTGCTGAAAACGTGTGGAAAGCATCCAAATAATGGGCATAGAGGATGCCAGATAAAAAACTGCATAGATAATTAAATTATTCTCACATTGTAACAATTGGCTCATTCCTACCTGCCAGAGGAAGAATGCCCCAGAGATGACCATTTGAAAATACAGAAAGGAAGTGAACAAGTTCAGTTCTACAGTGTTTCATGATCTGGTATACATGTGGATTTGATTATATATGACTTAGATTAAAATCCAGCAAATATTGATTGAGCACTTAATCATGTGCCAAGCAAAATTAAACAAACATGCAACTCACCTACACTTATGTATATACAGAAAAGTGCCACTTTGAGTTTAATTCCCAAAACAAGAAAGTCAATAAACAAATCTAGAAAACAATAGTAAAACAGAACAGACAGTGCTCAAGAATTTTCCGTTCATCTTACACTCATTACCAGGCCACTGACAAACATTTTGACTGTGGGACTACATGATTTCATATGGATTTTTGTTCCATAATGTTTCCTGCAGTTCCCTGAAGGGCAGCACCTACCTCAGTAGCATTGCTAGGGCACCTGTTAAGTAGAAATCTTGGTCCCACCTCAGGCTGAATGACTGAGACAGCCTGGGAGCGGGTGCCACAATTAGTATCTTAGAAATGAATTCATCTGGCTTGCTGATGCACCTCAAATTTTGAGGGCCACCAGCTTAGGAGTGAGTGAACTTTAATGTGCATACGAATTGTTGTAGAGAGCAGCTGGCATAAACCTGCGCCTTAGGAGCCCATGAAAGGCACCTGACCGTACTGAAGTCTTGCCTTGCTCTTCTGACTTAAATCCCTCTCCATCTGTTGCAAGATGTGGCCTAATATTTCATAACACTCTTGCAGGAGTGCACTTTTCCAAACCTGTTCTTCTTTGGATTTTCCTGGGTGATGGCAGCTCTGCATGAAATTTCACTAAGATTCACCAATCGCTGAGCAAAGGAAACTACCATCTGAAAATACAGATACCTGGAAATGTAATTCTTTGCTTATGTTTTAAAAAGTGAGAGGTTTTTCCAATGCCTTTTGAAACCACTTTCTTTCAGACAAGGAAGACCCAATCAGCAAGTCAGAGATCGTTGTCCAGTTCCCCTGCAGCGACCGATTCAAGCCGTCTTACGTCCACAGGTACCTGGAGGCCTGCTGCCCATCGTCTCCAAAGCCAGACTTGAAAGACGGGCTTTGCCTGCCTTTCATACCAATCTTGATCATGACATTTTCTGGCAGAAATCTAAATTTAAACATAATTAAATTTCACATAAGCACTGGTGATTCAAGGAACGAAGCATACCTTTATGGTTGCTTAATTCTTTGTCATTTGCGAACCACCCGCCTCCATTCACAAGCCTGTTTATGTTTCTAAACAGCTTTGGTCTGACTCCCAACTACATTGTTTTCGTGGAGACACCAGTCAAAATTAACCTGTTCAAATTCCTGTCTTCCTGGAGTCTGTGGGGAACCAACTACATGGACTGCTTTGAGTCCAACGAAACCATGGGGGTGAGTCAGAGGGATCTGTCCAGTTTGTGATTGCAAAAGGTTTTGGTAATGTACCACTGTCCCCTGTTAATCAGATCAAAATATTTTACTGTTCAAGGTCTGGCTTCACATCGCTGACAAGAAAAGAAAGAAGTACCTCAATAACAAATACAGGACCTCCCCTTTCAATCTCTTCCACCACATCAACACCTACGAAGACCGTGAGTTTCTGATCGTGGACCTCTGCTGCTGGAAAGGGTAAGGATGAGCTGCTTGAGAAGTGGACCAGCCCCAGCTGCTTCCGGAAATGAGGCTTTTACAGAGAGGCTGCGCTCAGGATGGGGCTGAGCTGCATCTAGAAAAGCAAGAGTCACAGAGATGTAATTGGGACAGCAGCAGGGAGCACAGGGCACCAGAAATGCAAACTGAGCGTCCAGCCATGGCAGACAATTGAAAACCAGCTGGGCCCGTGAACCGGACTTGAAAATAAAGAATTCTGTGGCCTGAGAAGGGCATAAACTTAACCTTGATGAGCTCTCCAGGGTGCCTAGAACACTGCTCACTCCGGAACTGGGGGAAAGAGGAGATATAGTAGTAAATGACCAGCAGATCAGAAAGTATCCAAGCTGCCGCAGTTTAAAGGCAGCCGTGAGCCCGGCTTCTTTATTTTTTGCCCAGCATGAGCTATAAGCTGTAACTCTAAAAATTACTTGTGCTTTAGCCACCGGAATATAAAGAGAATATGATTTTAAAAGTCATGAATCATCTCCCTAAAATGATGTGTAACTGTGTTCACTCTTGGTTTCCTGTTTTTGCAGATTTGAATTTGTTTATAATTACTTATATTTAGCCAATTTACGTGAGAACTGGGAAGAGGTGAAAAAGAACGCCAGCAAAGCTCCTCAGCCTGAAGTCAGGAGATACGTGCTTCCCCTGAACATCGATAAGGTAGCTAACTTTCTGCTACACAGATTCTAGACGTAATGGGCATGTTTCTTCTTCCCCAGGAATCCTTCTCTTGCTTCGTGTTTTTATATAAAGTTTCAAAGCTTCAAAGTTGGAAGGAACATTAAAAATAAAACTAGTTGAACTTCTCTCATCATACAAATGAGAAAGCTAAAACTCAGAAAAATGATGTAATCTAGCAAAAGCAAACTGTGGCCAGGCCGGGACAAGGACCAGGTTTCGTGATTCTAAATCCACTCCTCTCTCAGTTGCAGAATCCTTTGAAAAATAGGCTTTCTCCCTGAGGTATGCAGTCTCACTGGTACTTAGGATCTTATGTCAGTAGCATAAAGACTAAATAAATAATTTGAACCTCTAGAGGAACCAATCATCAAAAAGTATCATTGTTGGGAATCCAGCACATTATTTTAGTTTTCTATAAATCTGAAAATATCCCAGAGGGCAGAAAGCATGAATAGCATTTCACAGTTGTAGGAAAGTCAGAATTTCTTTCTGAAGGTGGCTGAAACTGCCAGCAGCCTAGCAAGAGAAAAGACACAAAATCTCTTCATGTGTGCATGTGCATAAGAGCCCTGTAAAACATGGCACTCCAAGAGAAGCCAGAGGGATAAGACTTGAATAGTCCCTTCGGGTGTGCTGGAGGGATGCTATAGGCACGCTGGAGGAGGAGAAGTGATTTTGGGGGGAAGACGAATGAGCCTGAAGAATGAACTGAAGCCAAGTTCTGGGGTCTGAGGTCTCCAGCTGGTGTTTGAGCTTCGGTCTTCCTCTGCAATAGAACTATAATTTTCCTTGGGAAATGGGGTTTCCATAAAAAAATGGAAGGGCTGTGCCACTGTTTGGTGGCTCTGTCTTGAGGGAAATAAGACAATTTGGGGAAATCCCTTCCCTGCACTGGCTTCTCCTCAAGCCTCTCAGTTTGAACCCCAAAGTGGTTGTTTGGGGGTTTCAAATTCCCACCCCAACACAGTTATCTCTTTTACGTGTGCAATTTGTCTTTTCTCTTTTGAGTGCAGTTACCAAACCTTCAAAGGAAAAGGTTAAACTTCCCTACAACTATCTAATGCTATTCATGCATTTTTATCCTCTAAGGGACTTCTCAGATTGACAAAAAACCAATGTGACACACTCTGTTAGGTAAATCATTATGGTCCCTGGCTGCACCAAAGGGGCTGAGGCAGCTGTGTGGAACATAGAACCTGGAACCAGAGGCTTAGATCAGAGATAGTGGGAAGCGAAGCCAATTTAGACCCAGATATTACAGCTCTTACACCAGCTTGTAAGTCCTGTGAAGGATGAGAAAGGGGGCAGGTTGAGGTCAGGCATAGACAGAAGAGCTTTTACAAAAGCAAGATCTAACATGGAAATGGAAGTTGTCTTGAGGCTGGTTTATCAGGAGTGTTGAGGAGATTGGCATTGGGCAGAGGGACTAGAAAAAGAGGTTGGAGAGGTATTTTAAGTGATCTTATAAGCCTTTGCGTGATTGTAAGTGATAAAGAGCCACTGCAGTATTCCAAGCATGTGCCGTGTGTATGATGTCATGGGTCTGTGTTTTGGAAAGGTCACCCAGGTCACATTGTGGGGAATAGAGGGGAAGATGGAGAGCTTAGGAGCCCCAGGACAGCACAAATGCACGAGCACAAAAGACCATAAACACCTGAATAAGCGGAAATGGCAAATGAGAGAGAAAGGAAGGTGCAGAGTTGAGCCATGTGGTGTTGACTGATACCTGAAGGATTCAGAATCACTTCCTCATCTCCTCGCTGAGCAGCAGAGCAGATGAGGGTTCAATACATCCTGAACTAAAGCAGGTGGGGCTGGTTCACAGAGGAAAGAGCCAGGTTTGCTTTGTACATGTTGAGTTAAAAGATGGTTGATGTGTTTGCCATCTCAGATATGTTCAGTGAGTCGCACAAATCTGGGTTTCAGAACAGCACTCACAGTGAACCACATCGGGCGGGTTTTCTGTTTATGTGTTTAGAGGTTTTGCTTTTCTGAGACAAGCGCTCCCTGTGTAGCTCAAGCTGGCCTCAAACCCATGGTCCTCCTCCTCCCCTGACCCTGAGTGCTGGGATTGCAAATCAGAGCCACATGCACCCCCCAGCAGGTGGAAACCCCAAGCACCCTTTCTTTCCCTTACCCCTGCCTGGAGCTGAGAGCCCATAAAAGAGGAGCTGAATGAGGCCATTAAGTCACCACACTGTAAAGTGAGGAGAAAGGAAGGCTTATTCTAAACGTATGGCCGTCACTGTGCTTTAATGGAAAGGAAGGTTTCTGAATGGAATTAAAGCTGGTAGTTATTCCCGCTGACACGACCATCAGACAGAGAGCAATAGATGAGACTGGTGGAAAGGAAGAGAAACCAAACAATAAAGAATTTGATAGCCAGGAAATACCAAGAAAACAGACAGCCAAGCACAGTAGCTCAGGAAACATCCCTGCGCAGAAAGTGGTAGAAAGACACAGAAAGAGCCACCAGGGTGCCCGCGTCACCAGGAAGAGAAGGAACCGCCATCTGAAAGGGAGGAGGGCTGAGCAGTTGTGCCCATAGCTTTAGCCACTGCGGAAAGAGGAAGAACCAGAGCTAGGGGTGGTGATTTCTGAGGGAGCAGACTCTCCACGCATCCCATTCCATCCCTCCTCCCAATTTCCTGTGTGTGGCTTTTACTAATCTATCCCTGCTTATGCAAACGTAATAAAATACCAGTAGGAACATGTGTACAATTACATAACCATTATTTCTCATTCTCTTGTGCCTTTCCATACCCAACTCTCCACTTTGTATAGCCACAGCAAAGATCTATGCATTGCTTTTTTTTTTAATTTAACGATACATGCTGAGAATTTTTCAGTATATGCTGTTTTACACAGTATGTACTGCATTTTCCATGGGCATAACCCCGTTCATTCAACAAAGCCCTTATTGCTTGCTGGTCAGTGCTGGTCAGTGGAGTTGTTTCTGATCAAATGATGTCATGGGAGGTAACTTTGTTCATATGTTTCTTTCATACAAGTGCGGATCTCTCAGCCTGGTAAACTTCCAGCCACATTGCCAAATCAAAGCATAAATGTCTCTGCTTCAAACCAAAGAAGGGAAACACAAACAAAGCTATAAGTTGTTTGCAGAAAACAAAAGTAGTGTTACAGATTTCTGGTATTAAACCCAAATTTAATAATAAAATAACAAGCTAAAGTAGTAAAATAATTCAATTTAAAATTGACGTCAGTGGAGATGTTTGACATATCCATCTGTACTCACTAGTTGAGTGTGTGTGAAAATGTAAACACACACACAGTCTTCCCTGGGTCACCACTAGGAGTCCTGGGAACTGGTTTCACGACATCTACTCTGCACTGCTTCCCACCTCCTTCCTATCCCGGAAACCTTCCACTGTTTACTGTGTACTCTTGATTCTTAGTGAACTCCAGAAAAATTCCCTTCATCCTTACTCCTAAATGTCCTCTCTCCCTCTTCTTTAACCAAAATCTGATTTGTTCTTGGGGTATCAATCTCTTGACAGAAATTTCCAGGGGGGAAGTTTCTCCCCTGCACAGGGGTTGATTCAGAGGCCATTGCTCCTTTTTTCTTTCTTCCATCCTCTTTTCCCTCCATTCTCCCTTAAAATCCCCCATTTTTAATATCATTTCGGCTTTGAGAGCCACCTGTGTGCACACGCAGCCCTCCACTCACCGCCACTTCCTCCTGGCTGGATCTCACCCTCCCCCGTCCCGGTTCTTCTCCCAGCCCTGAGTTCCACGCTGTTAGCATGCACACCAGTTTGAAGTCAATGCCCAGCGATGATGATCACTGTCGGGGCACAGGGCAGCGGCAGGGCCCTAGTTCAGCACTCAGGTGACAACACTTCGGGTCACCCTTTGTGTGGATCCTCATTTCTTCCCCTTCCCTACTTCAGTGAAATCACTTATCAAAATCACAGCCCTAGTTGAGCTCCACCATCCCCCCCACACACACTGTGTCTGCACCCCCAAGTCTGAATGTAAGTCCTGGGAACACACCATCCCGCTGAGTGCTCCAGTTTGAAATCTGTGACCACAGGACATTTCCCCACAGCACTTGCCATCTGGCTTTGCTAGTTACATCTTCCCCGTCCTCCTGTCTTCAAACCTTTTCCACCACCCACCTCCCTCCTCCACGCTCTGACACAGAGGCCGGCGGCGCTCCTACTGCCTGCTGCAGGAAACCGGGAAGAACCTCAGACTTGGCCACGGCCCTCAGCATCTGCACTGACACTGAACTCCACCCTCCAGCACAGGTCTGGGCCTCCCAGCCTTCCTCTCCCACGTCCTCCCTTCCTGCCTTTTCAGCCACTGGCTCACACAGGCTCTTGCAGGTTCCTGCTCTCTTTGGCCCCATCCAGCCACCCCCACAGGCCTCCCCTGGGGGAGGGCACCGGCACACAGTCCTTGCAGCCCTCCTGTTGTCTGTCTGTGTACTCATTCCCCTTCCCAGACCAGTGTGTTAGAGTGGCCTGTCTTTAACGTCCCGCTTTTCTTTCATCTCAGGACCTTCTAGTCTTATACCAAACCTACGTCTTCAGGAGACATCTTAAGCTTAGTAAGATCTGAATTTCTCATTTTTCGCCACCCAAAACCTTATCCCACCTGCAGTAATCCTTATCTTTATGGTGACAATACTAACATTTGAGGGGACATCAGTGGCACTGGGGTTGGAATCAAGGCCTTGCAACATGACACCCCAAGCCCAGCACCAGCTGTTAAGTGTCAGGTCAAACCCCCATGGTGCTGTGAGCTATGTCTCCCTTGCTTTCCCTCCTGCCTGTCAGGAAACCCTCTTCAAGCTCCCTCCCATGGTTCCCTGACTAGCCTGGCCAGACTTGGTTTTCCTTGGTCACCTGACTCTACTCTTGCTGTCTCCCCACTCCCAGGGAGGACTCAGCAGGCAGTGCTCCCTGCCCTGGTCAACAGAGTGGTTTTCACGATGTTATCACGGCCTCTTCTGCTCAGAGCCCTCCAGCAGCCTCCAAGCCTCACTCTGACCCAGATGCCCACACAGCCTGGCCCCGGGGACCCTCCTGGCCTCCCCCTTTCTGTCCCCTGGGCTCGGTGGCCACCCCACAGGCTGCTTTGATGCTTCTCCAGCCCTCAGCATCCTTCTTCCTCAGACCCTGCACTCCTGTTCTCCCTGCTGAGTGCCTCTAGCTCATTTCCGCCTCCTTTTGGGGTTTTCTCTCAAATGTCTCTTTGATCTCGAGATGGACACCAAGCACCTGATAAAATTTCCACCCACTGTCCCTTCTCTGGTCTGATCCCCTATCCTCTCCTTGATTTTTCTTCCCACATGCACAGCATATTACACACTGTATTGTGTGTGCGTGTGTGTGTGTGTGTGTGTGTGTGTGTGTGTGTGGTACTGGGAATTGAGTCCGAGGTCTTCTCACTAAGCTACGTCTGCACACCTTTTTAATTTTCAGTGAGACTCAGGGTCTTGCTAAGTGTCTAAATTTCCCAAGCCGGACTTGGACCTGCAATCCGCCCCACCTTAGCCTCCCACAGTGCTGGGGTTTCAGGGGCACCACCGTGGCCTGCTCAGTATGTTTATTATTAAACTTCCCTAAGTGGAATGCAAGCTTCCTGAGAACAAGAACTTAACCCTCTGAAATAGTCTAAATGTCTAGAATAGAGTCTAGAATAAACAAAAATTATAATCAAGTATTTAATAAAAATACTAATAAATAGATACTATATGTTCTTAGAAAAAATTCACGGAATCCACTGTTTTCATAGAATAACTTAAAAGGTCGTGTATTGTTTATGTGCACAGCTATGTCCACGCATGCATGATAAAAGAGCAACTGATCCAATGGTTTTTCCATATATTTTTTTCTTTTTGACCACATAACTATATCAGCTTTTTCAAACAAAGCCAAAATATTTGTTAACCATGTAAGAGATACACTCTCCCTCACCCCTCAGCAGCAAAACGTTTGCTGTTCCACAAAAAATATTCATCTGCAGTTTTACCCACGGACTATGTATTTTTCCAGAGGTCCATCCTCAGAGCCCCAGCTTTGCTTTGAGGAGTCTCGGCTTGCAAATGAGCACAGTGGAACCTGGGTGACCTCCCAGTGAGCCACAGCCGTGATTAGGACCCAGGGCTCCCTGGCCTGCAGGCTCCTGGAAGCTTCCTCCTGGCACTTGGACCAAGGGGACAAGCTCAGGAGACCTAACCGGTGAAGTCTGCGCACATGGTTGCTCACTGAGCTTTCTGTTCCCCTCATCCTCAGGCCGACACAGGCAGGAACCTGGTCACACTGCCCAACACCACAGCTACTGCCATCCTGCGCAGCGATGACACCGTCTGGCTAGAGCCCGAGGTCCTCTTCTCAGGGCCTCGCCAGGGTAAGACGATCCCTGGGAAGGGAACGCAGGGGCAGCTACTCCCAGAGGTTAACCGAGGATCCCTGACTCTGTGCTCTGATTTGCAGCGTTTGAGTTTCCTCAAATCAATTACCGAAAGTACAGCGGGAAACCTTACACATTCGCTTACGGACTTGGCCTGAATAACTTTGTTCCCGACAGGGTAACTGATCCTCTGGGTAAGGTGGGGATGGTACAGAATCCGTGAGGGTGATATTGACTGAGAGATCTGTTGCTTTTCTTTTCTTACAAGCAGCTCTGTAAGCTGAATGTCAGAACTAAAGAAACCTGGGTGTGGCAGGAGCCAGAGTCCTACCCATCAGAGCCCATCTTTGTTTCCCACCCAGATGCCTTGGAAGAAGACGATGGTAAGGATCATACCCACTGTGCCCGCACTGTGTCTTCCTGCTGGGGTTCTGTGTTCCTGAAAGCGGAGTTAGGGCGATTATTCCCCAGCGTTAAAAGAAAATTGTACAAATGGATGGCACTAAGGGATTTAAACTTATTTTGAAATGTTTCATCCTGTGATGAGGACTTGTTAATTTCCAGTGGGAAAGGCGCTAAGGCACCATCTGGTGTCAGGAGCCAGCATGGGTGTCTGCTCTGGAAGAGAAGGAGGAGGAGGAGGAGGAGGAGGAGGAGGAGGAGGAGGAGGAGGAGGGGGAGGGGGAGGAGCAGGAGGAGGAGGAGGAGGAAGAAGAGGGGGAGATCAAGATATATTTCTGAAAACAGGGAGAGTTCTAAGAGCAGAAACCGAGTTCTAGAAGTGGAGAGAATGGGAGTGCAGCTCTGCAGCCCTAGCTTTCATTTTATTTAGCAAGTTGGGGACAGAAAGGAACCCAGGGCCACAGCCTACAGTCCAGCAGCCCAGTGACCCAACATCTATCCTAGCCAATCTTCAATGAGCTAAGACAGGGCCATAGATTACACTTTCGGAAATAAAAGACAGGCAGCCAGGGAGACGTGAGATAAGTGACTGTACACCATGTTATGCACACCGTGCATTCAGCAAAAGTGCAAAAGGTTTGATTTCCTTCCTTCCTTCCTTCCTTCCTTCCTTCCTTCCTTCCTTCCTTCCTTCCTTCCTTTTTTGCTTACTTGCTTACTTTTTGGAAAGAAGTCTGTTTCCAGATAGACCTTGGAAGCTATAGGAATAATAGGTCTAGTTTTAAAGTCTTTTAACACACATTTTCCCTGGATCATCACAATTTTGTTTTTGCAGTAGGAGGAGCAAGTGTTACATTCCTGTCACAAGCAATGTCACAGACCTTGCACTGGCTAAGGTGCCTCCTGTGATCTGGTGGTGGTGATTAGAACTCTGTGCTCTAAAATGTACCATAAGAAAAACAGAGAGGGTCACCCCGTCCCTGAAGCCTGTACCCCAGGAGGAAGACTCCAAAAGAACTTGCAGGTGGTTCCTCAGCCAGAGGGTAGAGAAGTCAGAACAAGAAGCCTGGTCACATGGTTTTCTTTATTTGCCCACATAATTCATCCTGTTATTTCAGTCTCGTTTAATCTGTGGCCAGAGAGCACTTGCGTTGAGACCTGTCCCGTCCCCGTGTGACTCACAGGTGTGGTTCTGAGTGTGGTGGTGAGCCCAGGGCCCGGACAAAAGCCAGCCTCGCTGCTGATCCTGAACGCCAAGGATCTGAGTGAAGTGGCCAGGGCTGAAGTGGAGGTGAATATCCCTGTCACCTTTCATGGACTGTTCAAAAAAGCCTGAGAATGTTCCAGCAGGATCTATTTCCGGTGAAAAAGAAACCTGAAAACCAGCTTCAAGTCTATAGTCTAACTCTGATCAGTTTTATCCCACTGTGTGCAGCAGGGTTTTACCCTGCACAAATTTTACAGAGTTTCACAGAAAATACTGGCCGAGGTAAATGAATAATTCCTTTTTTAAAAGTGCATATTTAAATAATTATGCTATCTCGGTGAGACAGATAACTGAAAACTTCTTTTAAATATCTTGCTGTCAAATAAATGAATGTAAACTTGCTAAGCTGCTTATTATTCCTGTTTTAAAGCTGTATTTAGGTGAGTGTCTGCTATAATTCTCTACTATTTATACAACAAAGTCTTCTCCATCTGATTTGTAGGTAGCTCTGGTAATTCAAGGCAGAAATGCTCAGTTATTACATGTGAAACCAAGCGTTTATTTAAACCAGAAACTACTCTGAGAGCACACAGGAACTGTTTTGCATATGTGTAAGTGCTTGAAGAGTCTCAAGCTCATGAGCTTTAACTGCGTTACTCCAATTTATGCAATTCCGTGCTTTATTTCATTTAATATCAGAAAATGCTGCCATTTCTGATTTCACAGAGAGAAAACCTAATCAACTGAGGTTTCCCAAGCAACATCTCTCTTTTTTTTTTGTCTTTTTCATTTTTATCAGTACCAGGGATTGAACTCATGACTGCCTGCTTGCAAGGCAGGTGCTTATGCGGCTGAGCTAAATCCCCAGCCCCTCCAAGCAACATCTCAGAGAAAAGTATGCATGAAAAGTTTATGACCAGAGGCTGGGGATGTAGCTTATGGAGTAATGGAAGATAGCACTCATCTAAATTCAACTACTCTTTAAAATAATTTGATAGCATTATCGGAAAGTCATAAAATGTAGGAGGCAGGGCCTTGTTGAAGGGGATGGTCCCGGAGCACGACCCTGGGGACTGTATCTTGTCCCCAGCAGCTCCTTTGATTTCTCTCTGTCTCCTTCCTCTGAGTGAGCAGCACCGCCCCTGTTCCACACCGCATGACCAAGTGACCATGGACTGAAACCTATGAACCAAAATAAATGTTTCACCTTCAAGTTGTTTTTCTCAGCTACCTGATCACAGCAGTAGAAAACTAACACAAGGCTGAGGGAAATAAGCAGTCCAGCACCAAAATCTTCATTGTGAACACTAGGAGGAGAACGGAATGTATATATATATGTAACTCCACGTGACGTATCAAGTAAGCTGCTGGGTTATGAGTTTTTGGAGAAATCAGGGTTGTAGATATTATTTAGGAGCCCTTACCACGTAAACAATACCTCACATCATAAACTAAGTAAAGTCATCTACAGAAGAGATAGACACTGAAAGAAAGAGGTACAAAAATGAAACCCTAAGCACCTCAACATTCATAGTGCAAAGCTGAAACGAATCAGGGAGCTGAGAAAGAATTAGCAAAGAAAGAACATACAGTGATGCAGGGAGAAAATCAAAGTGGGCGTCATGGAAGCAGAATATTTTATAAATCAGTGGGTGACCAAACATGCCCAGCGCTATAAGTCACATAACAGGGGGATGGAGAATTGACGCTTGTGAGCAGTTTCTGCCCAGTGGAGGAATTCAAGAATGAGATGGAATAACTCTAAACTCAAAGCATTGAAAAATGCCTTTGACAAGCTTTTCTGTAGAGGGAAGAAAGTTAGATGGTAGCGGGGGTGGTCAGGACAGATTGTGATTGAAAGAGGTTTTTTTTTTTTTTTTTTAATTGGAGAAATTACAGCATGTTTGTATGCTAAGTATGATCCAGTTGAGAGGGAAAATGTGAAGATTTAATGGGGAGAACAAGCAAAATTTCAAGGGTAAAATCAAAAGGCAAAAGAGGTTGGGCTCTAGAGTAGACATTGAGTAGGTTGCACAAGTTTAGGATCTGTGCCCCCTGCTCGTGGTTAGTCAAACTAGTTTTGAAGCAAGGGAAATGAGATGTAGAATATCTAAAATTGAGGGTTTGCAGTGAAGCCATGGCAAGATCAAGGGTAGGACATGGAACTGAGTGGCTGAGGAAGGGCAGAAGGGAAGCAGAAAAGCAACGTACCCAGCAGTTGTCTACCAGATGTCGGCATTTCTTAGAATGACACGGAAAATGACATTGAAGGGAAAAACTAGTGTGTTCAAGGAATGAAGAGTAGCAGTGTGGGAAATACCAATGGGGTCGCTTAGGGTGGGGCAGTGGATGACGGTTAACATAGGAGAATTAAGACTCGAGCTGAGTGCTTTTCAGAGGAGAAGAGAGATGGCCTGAAACTGTCAGCTGCCAGGCTCTGAGCAGAACAATCTCTTCTAGAAAAGGCTGCATCGATGCTGAATTATCAGCAAAGAGTCACAGTGACTGCAAGCTAAGAGGAGAATAAGGATAAAAAAGGATTTTACTGACAATTTTCTCTGAATTCTAGGTTCTAAGCAGATAGGGAGTGGGGAAAATATGGACAGAAAGGACAACCTCTAGCATCTTACAGAATTAAATCCTAAGTCTGAGACAGCCAGGGAGTGTAAGAACAGGGATGAAATGCTGTGTCCATGATGGCTCTTGAAACTCTGCGGAGGGATTGGAGGAGGATGAAGAAAAATGAGTCAAGATGCAGAAAGCTGAGCTCAGGTGAAGCCTCCTCTTCTGGTGGGAAAGAAAGAGCCGCCTGAGGGCTGCAGTGTGGGGAGTGCTAAAGCTGAAGGTCAACCCCGTGCAGGGCTGGAGCAAGGCTCTACTGGAGAGCAGGGAAGATCTGAGACAAGTCATGTTCATAAGCTCATGGGCAGAGAGGTGTCACGTGACACTCAGTCTTGCAAGTGTATAAATAAACCTGCTGCAGCCCTTAGAGCTCTCCTGCTCCTGCCTCTTGCTTCTTTCCCCTCCTCCTTCTTCTTCAGGAGAGGCAGCGCCACACAGTCTCAGTTTCCTGGATTCCAACTGTTGTCCTTTTTCCGTCCTCTCACTGTCCTCACTCTGGGGACACTGAGAGCTGCACAGGCTGCAGCACTGCGGTGCATTTATTTATACACTCAGGAGGTTGGTGTCAGTTCAAACCTCTCTGCCTGATGACCTGTTTGCCTGGCTCACCTGAGGTGCCTTGTGTTCACGGAGCTAGGCCAGCTTGTTCATGTAGCTCACCTTGGCTTTCTGTGTTTTCAGGGCTGGCACTGTGTTAGGTCCCCACATGTGATCCATCTCCAGCTTCAGCTGCTGCATGCAGTGAAGGAAATTGCAACATTATTTCTGATGCACTGAAAGCATAAAGTGGTGGAAAGGCTCTCAGTGAGGGAGACCTGTGAGATTGTCTCACCCAGGGTGGAAATCTTCAAATCTGGATGTCACAGAAAGAGAAGAGGGTGCCTGCAGAAAGAGCCCTAAAGGGCCTGGCGCAGGGTGGTCTTGTTCTATAGCTGGACCCTGTCTTGGCCACCTGACTGCCTGGACATGCAGTCCTGCCTTATGTTCTATGTACTAGGTGCTCTGCTAAGCATGTTCTATGCACTGGCACATCTAATCCTCATAAGAGCACTATTGAGTAGATGCTGCTTACCTCCATTTTACAAATAAAGAAACAGAGACACACAGAGCCTAATGAACCATTCCAGCAAGTAGCAAAACAGGATTTGTGCCCAAGCAGCCTGTCTCTGGAGCCATTCTATAGTTGACATTTCCATTGATTGAGAAGATCTGGTAAAACCCAACAGATTCCCTCAGGTCCACGCCTTCACTTATGAAACCTAGCTAGGTCAGAAACCAGAATACCTCACATCCCTTGATGTCTTTGACAGTACCGTGGATAATATTATTATCTGTCTACTTCTGCCCTTGATTGCTAGAAATTTGTTCTGAGTGCAGGATCATAGTGCAAAATAATATTCCTATTGCTTCTCTCAGACTGCTCATAGAATCAACACCATTTGGTATAGGTATTTATACTGTTTAGTGCTCAAAGAACCAATGAAAAGCATCGACATGGCCTACTATTCAAAACATCTCACATCTATTGCCATGGCACAGATTTCACTGCCACACCTGCACACCACCCATGGCAGAGTATTCTTGGGGACAGCTGCACTAGATCTGGGATCACCATGGAGAGACCTCTAGCAAGTTCCTTTGCTGCAAGGAGAATTTGTTGGGAAAAACTATAGCATTTCTCATGCTTTACTCTTCTAGAAAATCACAGATATCATTAGTTGGCCAAAGGCAAAATAACTAAAAAGAAACAAAAAAAATTTTTAGGAGCTAAGTATGAATTTTTTTTTTTTGCTTTTTAAAAAAATTTTATTTAAAGAAAGACTAAACAAAACAGAAAATGGGTAGAAATAATGCATACATTCAGAGAAAAAACAAACAGTAAGAAATCACTAGTTGATGTTTACATACAGTCCTTTTACAAATAGTTGTTCAATATACAAAAGTGGGACATATAAAGTGGAAATTCAAACAGCGAGACTGCAAACAGTTCTGTTCAATTATCCAACAAAAACTTAGTAATATGACTGTCAGTCCTATACACCTAAACATACATGTAGTTATCCATATCATCATTTATGTTGAGATTAAACTAAAGCAGGCTAAAGTTATTCTGAACAAAGAATAATAGTATTGCTAAATTTCACATCATGACACTCTGGGATCAGTACTGGGTACTATAGTGTCTTTTTTTTGTTTAAAGAAAGACTAAACAAAACAGAAAACAGGTAGAAATAATACATACTTTCAAAGGAAAAATAAACAGTAAGAAATCACTAGTTGATGATTACAGACTGTCCTCTTACAAATAGTTATTCAAGATACTAAAGTGGAGCATATAAAGTAGGGACTCAAACAGTGAGACTGCAACCAGTTTTGTTCAACTATCCAACAAAAACTTAGAAATATGGTTATCAATCCTATACACTTAAACATACATGCAGTTATCCATATCTTCAATTATGTTGAGACTGAACAAACCTAAGCAGTCTAATATCACTCTGAACAAAGAATAATACTATTGCTGGGTTTCACATTATGATACTCCAGGATCAGCACTGGGTATTTTAGTGTCTCTTTTTCTTCAGAGTATCTGTTCATTTCATCATGTGTCATAAGATCAGTTCTCATAAAATGTTTATAGGTTCTACACATGCATGAGTCTTAACATGTATTTCTATCCTTTCTATATTAGAGGGAGAAACAAAAAAGAGCATGATAAAACAAAACATATTCCTATAAACACATGAAATGAAAAAGACATATAAGAGCATTGTACAAGGAGT